TGGGAGGAAAACCACGAGGAAGAAGCTTGTCCTGTGGCCCTGGCATGACAGGGCTGTGTGGTCCCCAGTAGCCAAGGAGCACAGCAATGGCCGGCCGGGGCTGCCGGGATGCCAGGCCGGACAATCCCCGAGCCCCGGAGCTGGGAGACTGCGGGGAGGGACCTTTCCCAGAGGACAGGGGAGATGGCAGGTGTTCTGGAAAATTCTGGCTCCAGTGGAAAACGCAGTGAATGTGGTCACAGTTGTGCTGCCAGTTGGCTGCGTGCCCTGGAGCAGACACTGCAGCCTCTGAGCCGTGTTGTCCATCTGCTCCAATGATCGCGGACATGAAGCCACTTGGCCCTTTGGCACTTAGGGGGTTTCCGCTCAGAAGTCATAATGGAAATGCTTTATTTCACCAGAACGTCCACCCCACAAGGGCAGGGTCTTCATGTTTGCTTCCCTGCTGCACATCCAGCCCCCAGACAGGGCTGACACTCAGGGGGTTGGCGGGGGGGGGTGCAGTGAATCTCTGTGGAATCTACAGGAGAAGTCATGAGATCCGGGCGCCAGCAGGAGAGGCCTCCTCCTCGGCCCCCTGAGCCCTGCCCGCTCTGTGGCCCCCACAGCGCAGCCCAAAGTGAGCGCTCAGGGAGAAAGGGGGCAGGTGTGGTCACCTCCTCCCACCCCAACTCCAGGCAGGTGGGGGGGGGGCGTACAGTGGGAGGGGACCTTCACTTCGCATGCCTGCAGCATGGGGAACACCCTGCCTGCCTGCCTGCCTCGCGGGCTGTCGTCCTCACAGTGAGGCCACATGCTGGAACAGAGCTGTGCACAGCGGTGCTCAGCCAGGGTGAGCTGCTCTGTTGCTGCTGCTGCTGCAGGACCTGAGTCACTGGCCCCCTGCCCCACCCACTGCACCAGAATGAGGCCCGGCTCCATGTGGGGCATTGTCCCACGTTGCCAAGTGCGCCCACCTGGTGTGTTCTGCCTGCCTCCCTGCCTGCCTGTCTGTCTCCGCTCGGCACCCAGGAGCATCACCATAGCAATGAGCTCCGTCCCGCCGTGCGGTGCGGCCTTCGGCTCGCCCTGGGGCTGGGTTTCCTCAGATCTCTCCTCTGACTTAGAAAATGTGGGGCTAAGTGAGGTCATGGGCAGAAACTGCTCTTCAGGGCTCCAGGGGCTGGTCACCAGAGAGATCATTACAAGAGGGGACGCGGGACGCGCTGCGGCTCTCCCAGGAAGCATGGGGAGGCCAGGTGTGGACGTGGGCCCTGGGGCCTCTCGAGTACATCCAGACGTCACACTGTGCCCACCAGAGCACGCCCACCTTCACCTTGCAGGTCAGGGACCAAGTCCACGGGCATTTCCTTGGGGACAAACCACAGGTCCTTTCCCTCTGAAAACACTGCTCCCTGTCACGGCCCGGGCCAAGGCCGGAGAGAAAGCCACCATGTCCCCACGTCCCGGGAACAACTGTGAGCTGGAAAGCGTGGCTGGGAGGACCCAGGCCTTCCCGGGGGTTTGCCAACGCTGGAGACCGACTCCCAAACAGCTCCCCACCTGCCACTGACTGCGCCCTTTGCCTTAAACACTGTCCTCTGTCCAAACACAGCCCCCCTGCTCACCCCGCTGCCCGCACCAGCAAGCCTCGAGCCATTTCACTCCACATGCGCCTCTCTCCAGAGCTCTTGGCCCTGCGAGGGGGCGGCAGGCAGAAAGGCGGAGGCAAAGGAGAGGCAGGGGCAGACACAGCAGGGGCCCAGCGGCCCTGTCCTTCCGTCTCCGCTGGGGCTCGGGGCCCTCTGATGTCTGGGCGGGGGCACGGAACAAAATCCCGACTGGCAGCAGCAATCCCAGAGATCAGGGCTGCTCAGGGGCTGCCCCGCTCACCGCCCCACACACTGAGCTGGGATGAGGTGAGTGACTCTCCACCCCGGGCGCCCCCCCCCCCGCCCCGCCCTCCTGCAGGCGCTTAGCTTACTCGCAGGTGCAGGTGGTCAGTCCAGGAGCCGATGACCTTGTACTCAGCAGAGCCGTTGCGCAGCTGGTACTGGTAGATGTCGTAGCGGCCGGGCGCGTCTCCGTTCTCGTTGAAGGTCACGGGGTTCCCGGCAATGCCTGTGGGGACAGCGGGAGTCGCACACTCAGTCTCCTTGCTGAGCCTGCACCCAGAGGCTGGAGGATGTGAGCCCGGGGCAGAGACGCCTCCAGGGAGGCCCCTGCATGGAGAGAGCCGTTGCGCAGCTGGTACTGGTAGATGTCGTAGCGGCCGGGCGCGTCTCCGTTCTCGTTGAAGGTCACGGGGTTCCCGGCAATGCCTGTGGGGACAGCGGGAGTCGCACACTCAGTCTCCTTGCTGAGCCTGCACCCAGAGGCTGGAGGATGTGAGCCCGGGGCAGAGACGCCTCCAGGGAGGCCCCTGCATGGAGATCGGGGAGGCTTCACCCTCGACCCCACCCGGGGCCCAG